CGCCTCTTGTGCATACAGGTGCACAAGCCACCCTGTGTCATGGACAAAAGTGCACACGCACACACCCACATACATGCACTATACACATGCATAATCTCATTTAGAGATCCCAGCACAAAGCATTCAATTACTCACACCACTTACATAGATACCGAAGCACTGAACATACAGACACCAGAGAGTTCATCTCCGTGTCTCTATTATGGAGCTGGCCTTGGCATTAGATGATATGGCTTAGTTTAGTCTCACTTGAAATGGTTGATTACAAAAGTTCTTAGTGACAACTGGCTCCTGCTCACCTTGGAAATCTGCAGATGTGAGATCCTGACTAGGATTCTGTAAAAGCCCCCAGGGAATCTATTCTATATTTCCCAGCCAGCCAGGTGCACAGTGGGACAGGTGCAGTGCTGGTGAGAGTGCTATTTCCTGGCTCCTGTCATATGACACACGGAATACAAAACAACCATGCCCCTGTTGCACAGCTCAGGTCTGTTTGCTCATTTAAGGACTGTACCCAGGGCATGCTGTGTGCCTATGCTGGCAGTGCAGATGTGGTTAGAAAGCTCATAGATTCACACTCCACTCTCAAATCACAGCATGTTGCTTTAGGAAAGTTCCTGGCACTGGGGACTTAACATTCCCTTGTGATTTTTCAGCCTGTCCCAGGGAGTTCCTCTGCTCTGTGAATGGCCTGTGTGTCCCAGCATGTGATGGGATCAAGGACTGTCCCAATGGACTGGATGAGAGGAACTGCGGTGAGTGATCCACTGTTCCCACCTCCCTGCTCCCATCTCTCCTCTCCTCAGGAATCTGCAGCTTAGTTTGACTCCCTTCTGCACAGAACCTGGCACTCAGGTCTCTCAGGGAAAAGTCTGGGGGAAAATGGAAACCTTTGGGAGACCTGGCTACACCAGTTAAGTGTGTGAAAGTAACACAGGTATTTGCGTGGTGACAGACGGCAGCTCAGTCAGGAGTTAAATCCATGATATCATGCACAGAATCTTCTTCCCCCCACAGCCAGAAGGCAGCTGCTGTGAATATATACACACAACATGACTGCTATGGAGGGATTTACTCCAGACTTTGCTCCACAGCCAATTGACTCCCTAGCAAGGAGCAAAGGCATGACCTCCCACATGGCTCGGCCCATCGCCTGCACAACCCAAGCCAATCAGCCCACCAGCTAGAGCCTTGACTGCCCATGATGTATGTGGCACAGTGAAGCTTTTTGTATTTGCAGAACATTGACAAATCTTTTCTCATTAAGCCACAGGGCTGCCCCATGGGGTGGGTATTATTAGTGTTCAAATTATTACAGATGAAGGAAACAAACAGAGAGTAAGCTCAGGTTATTAAACCAAGGCCACCCAGGCAGCCATGGGCAGAACTTGCTCTACAACCCAGGAGTTCTTGGCTCCTAATCCCATACTCAGTTTATTGGGCCATCCGGCCTATAGGCAGCACTGTCAGCGAGTATTAGTCCTGGCACACAACACTTCCTCCCTGCTGTTCCAAGGGCTCGGATGAGGCTCAGGACTCTCTACTCGTAGGAACACAAACACTGGATCTGATCCAAGGCCCATCCAATCCAATCTCCTGGGCCTGACAATGCCAGCACCAAATGCTTTGAGGAAGGACACCGTATCACGGAATATTACGGAATAGCATGTCCATGGCAGACATTTCTTTCTAAAGCCATTGGTTAGTGCTTGGTTTATACCTTTAAGCATGAGAGAATATGTCCCTAATAGGGTTCTTTAAGGCCTAATGTTGCTGTAGATAGTCTCATTATCCACATAAATGTCTGATTCTTTCTTGAATCCTGTTAAGCTCTTGGCCTCAGGGATATCTTGTGGCAGTAAGTTCCATGGGTTAATTATGAACTGGATTTTTTTTAAAGGATTTTTCAGTATTAAATGCATTCACTTTCAGTTTCCACAAATGAGACTTTGTTCTTGTATTTTTAAAAAGAGTAAATAGGAACTGCTTGATTTCCCTTCTCTGGGGAGTTCGTTATCCTGTGTGCCTGTTGTGTGCCCTCTTAATAGTCTCATGTCAAAATTAAACCATCTCCATCTTTTATATCTCTATTCACATTGCCTCAAGTTATTCCATGCCTCTAATCATGTGACCTCTTTATATTTAATTATCACATAACTAATAATGTTACTGAGACAATGTTTAGAGATCTCAGCCCCATTGTGTTTGGCACTGTACACATACATGCATGCACACACACACTATAATAAAACAGTTCCTGCCAGAAAGAGCTGGAAGTCTTAAGTATCAGATAAAAGACTACAGGTAGATAAGAAAACAGGCAGTGGCAAGCAAGAGGTAACCATGAGCAGTTGTGTTAGCTGTAACATACTGTATAGTCAGTGCTCACTGAGCCATTGTTAAGTATTTTGCCAGCATTGTTAAAAAGTCAGTTTTGAAGTAAAGAACTGAAGGAAGATTGTGTAGGGGCTTTGTGGTCTTCTGGCATTGCCCCAGCTTTTTTGACATGGGATGGCCAAACCAGAGTCCTATGTTTCATAGAATCATAGAAAATTAGGGTAGAAAGGGACTTCAGGAGGACATCTAGTCCAACCCCCTGCTCAAAGCAGGACCATCCCCAACTAGATCATCCCAGCCAAAGCTTTTTCTAGCTGGGTCCTATAAACCTCCAAGGACAAAGATTCCACCTCCTCTCTGGGAAAGCTCTTCCAGTGTTTTACTACCCTCCTAGTGAGAAAATTCTACCTACTGTCCAACCTAAATTTCCCCTGCTGCAACTTGAGACCATTGTTCCTTGTTGTGTCATCTGCCATCACTGAGAGCAGTACAGTTCCATCCTCTTTTGAATCCCCCTTCAGGTAGTTGAAGGCTGCTATTAAATCCCCACTCAGTCTTCTCTTCTCCAGACTAAATAAGCCCAGTTCCCTCAGTCTCTCCTCAGAAGTTATGAGAAATTATGTGAGTTATGTACTCCAGCCCCAAACCATTTTTGTTCCCTCCAGTGGACTCTCTCCAATTTGTCCACATCCTTTCTATAGTTGGAGGGCCGAAAACTGAACATAGTACTCCAGATGTGGCCTCAGCAGAGCTGAATAGAGGGGAAGAATCACTTCCCTTGACCTACTGACAACACACCTACCAGTGCAGCCCAGTATGTCATTATCCTTCTTTGCAACAAGGGTAGACTGCTGGCTTATAATCATCTTATTGTCCGCTGTAATCCCCAGGTCCTTTTCTGCAGAGCTGCTGCCCAGCCAGTCAGCCCCCAGCCTGTACTGGTACATGGGATTGTTTCAGCCTAAATACAGGACTTTGCACTTGTCCTTGTTGAACCTCATGACATTTCTTTTGGCCCAATCCTCCAATTTGTTGAGGTCACTCTGAATCCTAGCCCTACCTTCCAATGTATCTACTACTCTCCCAGCTTGTTGTCATCTGCAAACTTGCTGAGCGTGAACTCTATGCCATCTTCCCAGCCATTGATAAAGACATCAAACAAAACTGGCCCCAGGGCACTCCACTTGATACCAGCTGCCAACTAGACTTTGAGCCATTGACTACTCTCTGAGCCTGATGCTCCAGCCAGTTTTCTATCCACTTTACAGTCCATTCATCCAGCCTGTACTTCCTTAGCTTGCCTGTGAGAATATTGTGGGAGACAGTAGCAAAAGCCTTGCTAAGATCAAGGTACACCACATCTACCCATCTCCCTGCATCCACAGTGCCAGTCATCTCATCATAGAAGGCAATCAGGTTGGTCAGGCATGACTTGCCCTTGGTGAATCTATGCTGACTGTTCCTAATCACTTTCTTCTCCTTCAAGTGCTTAGAAATGGATTCCTCAGGGATCTGCTCCATGATTTTTCCAGGGACTGAGGTGTGGCTGACTGGTCTGTAGTTCCCTGGATCCTCCCTTTTCCTTTCCTTAAATATAAGCACTTGGTTTGCCCTTGTCCAATCATCTGGGACCTCTCCTGATCACTGTGAGTTTTCAAAGATAATGGTCAGCAACTCTGCAATCACATCAGCCCACTCCCTTATCACCCTCAGGTGCATCCCATCTGACCCTATGGACTTGTATATGTCCAGCTTTTCTAAATAATCCCTAAACTGTTAGTTCAGTAGTCTGGGAGCTGACCTTGCCTGTGAAGACTGAGGAGAAATAGGCACTGAGTACATCAGCCTTTTCTGCATCCTCTGTCACAGGTTGCCTCCCCCATTCAGTAAGGGACCCGCACTGTTCCTGATCCTCCACTTTCTACCGCTATATTTGTAGAAACCCCTCTTGTTACCATTCACATCCCTTGCTAGCTGCAACTCCAGCTGTGCTTTGGCCTTCCTGATTTCATTCGTATGTGCCTGAGCAATGCTCTTATATTCTTCCCTAGTTGTTTGTCCAAGTTTCCACTTCTTATAAGCTTCCTTTTTTCGATTTAGTTTACTGAAGATTTCCCTGCTAAGCCAAGTGGATCTTCTGCCATACTTGCTAGTATTCCTGCATATTGGGATGGTTTGTTCCTGCGCTCTCAGTAAGACTTCTTTCAAGTACAACCAATTCTCCTGGATTCCTCTCCCCCTCAGTCTGGCTTCCCAGGGGATCCTGCCTTTGAGTCCCCTGAGCAAGCTGAGTTTCTATCAAACGGTGCCCCATTGTTTTTTTATAAAGGCATCATAATAGTATTTTTTGCATTGCTCTTATTCTTGTGCTTCTTACATTCTAACACAAACAGTCAATATACAAAGAGTAAATAAGGGCAAGTACTTACTATAGTGCAGCTGATGCACTGTAATTATCAAGTATTACCCCACAGAAAGTGATAGCTAAACCAGGCAGCTTACCCCTAAATGAAACAGGGCTACATTACCCTAGTTAAGCTTTCACTTACTGTAGAGTATAAGCAGGCAGACAAACAGGAACTGTGCCTCAGCTGCTCAGTGGAAGGTTCCATTTCCCCTTTAATTCACTGCAGTGGGATTGTCTGTTAGTACCTGCCCATCTACCATTTTAAGCTCTGCTGTGCTGTGACTAGAGACTTCCATTGAGCCATTCCCAATAACACCCAGGCCTTTCTTCCATGCTGTTAGTGAGTTTAAAATTCAGTTACATGTAAAAGTAGTTCAAATCGTTCCTTCCTAGATGCACTGCTTTGCATCCATTGGCAACTGGCTATACCTGCTTTGTACATTGCCTATCCCCCAGTCCTGTCAGGGGCTTCTGCTCTTCCAGTCTTCTCTAGTCTCGACTCACCCAGACAATGTTGTGGCCCTTGTGTATTTTGCCACCTCCCTGTCCCCTGACCATTGACAACTGTATTAAACACTAGTCCTTGCACAGCACTGAGGCCTGGGGCACAACACTCTGGGCATGTCTACATATGCATTTACTCTGCCTTAAATTTACTGTGCAGTAAGTTACTGCATGGTAAACAGAAATAGGCCGGCGTCTACACATGCAGGCATAAAAGCACATTAATGCTGTGTATGAAATCACTTGGGACTAAAGTTAGTCCCAAGTCAGTCCACACACACAGTGTTACTGTGCAGTAAGAAGTCTACATGTGTCTTACTGGACAGTAACTAACTGGGTGTAAATTTGATACCTGCATGATACAGGTATCAAATTTATGCTCAAGTTGCCATATTTACTGTGCAGTACGGGCGTGCATGTATAGACATGTGCCCATACTCCCCCCCACGACACCACAGCAGTGCTCTGCTAACGCTCTTTATTTCTGGTGCTCAGTCCTCTCCTACCTTCTCTTAACCACAAATGATCCGTCTCAGTTAGAAAAAAGGGGCTTTGTGATGGACACAAATGGGTGACAGGGGTAAGACCCAGTTTTTTGCCAGAATTCCAGAAGCAAAGCAGAATAGTCTCTTAATACCCTATATAGTTCAAGTCCCTTTCTCCTGCTAAGTAAATGTCACATAACTTTTCAGTTAGAATCTACTTGTCGCTAATGGTGGGTGTTGCATTGAGAAAAGAGGCTGCAACTTGCCATTCTCTTCTGAAACCCTCCTGTTTCCTCCTTGTGCTTTCGTAGTGTGCTCTGCAAAATTCCAGTGTCAGGAAGACAGCACCTGCATACAGTTCACAAGGGTCTGCGATGGTCGTCTGGACTGTGTCAACGGGAGCGATGAGGAGCAGTGCCATGAAGGTAGGGCAGGAAGGTCCCTGAGGTTGGAACAAGGTTCTCTTCTGCAATGCCACCTAACTTGAGCTATTGATAACCTTCTACTCTGAGCTCCCAATAAATGACAGTGGCTGCCAGCAAACACCACAGGACTGATAGCTATATTTTCTCTCTGAACCAAACACAAAACACTGTGGTATTTCTAAAGCAGCCCTAGATAGGAAGCTTTATGCTATGAATTTAGGTCAGGCAGGGGTGAGCAAATTCTGGCCCTCAGGCCAAATTGGGCCTGCAGCAGACTGCATTTCCCAGCAGCCCCTGCCTGCATCACTGTGGCCAGTTTCCATGAGATCCCAGGAGTGGTGGAGCCGTGACAGCACGGGACCAGTGTGTCCATGGAGACTGGGCCCAGCATTGCTGGCAAGGCGCAACTGGGTGAGAAGCCGTTCTGGGCTGGGATCTTGCAGCGGTGACAGCGTGATCCAGAGCTGGGGCACAGCTGTAATCTGCTGCCCGCACACTCCAGGCAGGGACATGTGGGCAGCGAACTGCAGCTCTGCCCCAGCTCCGGACCACACTGGCACCACTGCAAAATCCCAGCCCTACCCCAGAGCAGCTCGGCGCCCAGCCGCTTGCGCTGCCAGTACTGCTAGGGCCAGTTTCCATGGAAACTGTACTGTCATGGCCCCACCTCCTAGGATCTCCATGGAAACCAGGGCAGGGGCTGCTGGGAAATAAAGTCCAACCACCAGCCGGATCTGCCATTTTGCCCACCCCTGGTTTAAGGATTCACCAAGGCAGAAGGCTGAGATTTCTCCCACATCCTCCACTGAATGAACTCCTCTCCCCACTTAGCTCTCCTGCTGACTCTTCCTTCCACTTACATCCTTGCAGATGTTCCCTGCGGGTCATTCACCTACCAATGTGCAGATGGGTCCTGTGTGAAGAAACCCAACCCTGAGTGTGACTCAGTTGCAGATTGCAAGGACCTGTCTGATGAGAAGAACTGTGGTGAGGAAGGACTAATGTTGCCTTACACAAAGTCAGGGCATTCTGCCAAGCACTACCGATTATCAGATAGAAAGGAAGCTCATTCGACCAGTGTTCAGGTTGGCACTTGTTGGAGTCTTGGTGGCACCAGCTTGAGAAGGCTCCCACTGATAGAATATGAGCCAGCCCTAAACAGGCACTGGTGAGAGGAAGCTCACAGTCCTTGCATCCCAGCTTAGCCAATTGGACATATCTGAACAGGGAAGATAATGCAGAGCAATTATACTTCCCTGTGACAATCATCAGGATAAACCTCAAATGGGAATTCTCACTAGCTTAGCTGTTGACTGTGCAGAACATGCCCCCCACTGTGTGTTAGGCAAAGATGGCAGGGCATAAACAGAGAACTGGGAAGTCAGTAAAGCAAAAGAGAGGGTCTGATACGATGTATGGTGATGTCTTCTCCGCCTCGTGGTAGATGCCTTTCATAATTCCTTCTCCTTAGATTGTGGATTACAAACCTCGTTAAACCGGATCGTGGGTGGCGTCAACACTCTAGAAGGGGAATGGCCATGGCAGGCTAGCCTGCAGATCCGTGGACGCCATATTTGTGGTGGAACACTCATTGCTGACCGTTGGGTGGTCTCAGCTGCCCACTGCTTCCATGATGAAAGGTAAGTGATACAGGAGGAATGTTGGGCAGGAGATCGGCATCAGATGGCTTTCAAAGTACCATTAACATGAGCCGTTTGGGCCTTAGCCTTATTCTAGTTGTGGTGCAGAATGACCACAGAGTTTTGTATGATGGACAAACTCAGCTCAGTAGTGCTCTGGGAAGTCCAAATGGAGATGTCTGTGTCTGTGATGGGGACAGAACCATAGCAGAGAGCTGGTGGGGGGGATCCCATCCACCCAATGCTTACACTGGCCATCATTAATAGCCCTGTCCCTGTCAGGAACACTGAAGATACAGGGGACTCAGCTTCCCCAGCCACCTTCTCCATGTTCCTTTTTTTTTTATTTTTGCATTTCTGATTTTCTGACCCTCTCCTTCCTCTTCTTCTCTATCACTCTCCCTTGCAAAGCTCTATGCCTTGTCTGTCTTCCTCATCAAAGCAAATGTTTTTCTCCCCTGCACTCCTAGACTGGCTTCCCCATCCATCTGGACTGTCTACTTGGGCAAGTACTTCCAGAACACCAGCAGCTACAATGAGGTGTCCTTCAAAGTGAGCCGCCTCCTCCTGCACCCATACTATGAGGAGGACAGCCATGACTACGACGTGGCCTTGCTCCAGTTAGACCATCCAGTTATCAGTTCACCCTTCATCCGGCCTATATGCCTGCCTGCCCGCACCCACCTCTTTGAACCTGGTCTCCATTGCTGGATCACTGGATGGGGGGCCCTCAAAGAAGGAGGTATGTTGCAGGGCATTTTCCGATCTCGCTCCATATTCCTCAAGGTTAGGGCTGTGCGAAACCCAGCCCATGAACTGAATACAGCATCCTTCTCTATGATCTCTGGTAAAAGGAGGGTTTTGTATTGTACAGAGCCTGGTTGCACAGACAGGGACACTGGAGACTCAAGGAAAGCCTGAAATAGATACATGTGGACAGCCACATGAGCATCCTTCTGGAGCTAGGGTATACCTGTGGGTGCAGGCAGGAAGGGCACACTCAGGTCTGTCCTGACCAAGACTCACTGCTCCCATAGTGTAGATAAGTCCTTTTTATCTCTCCTGAGCTTGGCTCTACTTCTTGGTAGCAGAATCAAGAAGTAGGACACAGAAGGTCTTGTAGTCAGGAACTTTCAGACTTCCTAAAAATGTATCACAGCATGGCTTTCTGTATATCACCTCACTCTTAATTTAACCCTTTAGCTCTAAAAGTTTGAATGGGCCTGCGCTAGGTGACAGATGGAATATTTGGGGGAATCCTCCCTCCAACCTGTATAGCAACATGCTATAATGCCACGATGGCAGCCTCCCAGCTTTGCTTGAGAACTAATTTATGGGCATAATATTAAAGGCACAGAGGGCAGCTAGATGCCCAACTCACAGTGAAGGACTCCTCTCATGCTCTCTGTCTCTGGTCCCACAGGCCTTAAGGGCCTGTAACCACCTTAACTACAGACATCCATCTCCTCCTGTCCTGTGCAGTCTCCTTCCACATTGTCACATCTTCACATGCCCCTTGCAGATCAGGTCTTAATGTTATTTTCCTATCATTGCCTTGGTTTGTCTCGAAATCAGATACCTTCTACCTCAGCTTCTACAAACTGCCTCACATGCTTTCTTGCATCAGTTTTCATGATATGCCCTGACCATTTCATTCTCTACACGCGTATCTTGCTCAAGACATCGGGTCTTTTGTAAAGGCCCGCAAGCTCTTGATTACATCTCCATTTTCTTATATTGCACCAAATACTTTCCTTAGCACCTTGTTTTCAACCACTTGCAGCCTTTTTTCCATTTGCCTTTGGCAGCATCCAGGATTCACATCCATATAAAAGGACAGGTTAAACAATTGTACTATAAAGAAAGTCTCCTAAATAAATAAATACCACTTCAATGCTGAGACAGTCCCAATCATGACATTGTGGCATCACATTGCTCCAGTGTGGAATAGTGTTGCTGCAAGGATCTGGAACAAGTTCCCCTGAATAAAGTCAAAGAACATTCCAACTCTGAGACCCATGAAACATGAATAGAGAACATATAGACTTGTGTCTTTTCTTCCAATTAATAATTATACAACACAGCCTCAATCTACCGTAATCAGCGTTGCAACAGGTACCCTTTAGCTCCCCCTAGTGCATCATCACATTTTATCAGACAAAATAATTGCAAATGGATGCAGCATCACAATAGCACAAGATTCAGGACAGATATGAGATTATAATTATCTGGGCTTGCAGATTAGACTCATAAATGTACAAAAGAGAAGGAGTATTGAAGTGCATAAGTGTCCTGCTCTAGAACTGATCTCAGCAGGAGGGCTTTGGATTGAAGACTCATTAAAGGGTCTTTGATCAGCAAGTAGAGCATGGAGGATCTTTTCTTATCATCATTATTTTTGCAGACCCATGTGAAGAACCATGTGTATTCACAGAGTTTTACAAACATAACCCTTCCCAACAATACAATAGTCTCCCATGAGAAGTAACAGAAACCTTGATTTAAGATTTCAGAATTAACTAGTGATTTAGGACACCCAAATTAAGATGCTTTAAAGAGATCTGATTTTCAGAGGCCAGTATCTGTGCACTTCCTGAAATTTAGGTCTTTTTGGGGTGTTTTAAGCTGAGCATCCTAAAACAGAGACATTTTAAATCATTCATCCCTTTGTAAGAAAGGAGGCCCCCTTCATTTAACATGTGTGAAATTAGTTTGGACAAAACTCTAGCAAATATATAGTAAGAACCAACCCTAACATTCATAAATTCATAGATGTTAGGGTCAGAAGGGACCTCAGTAGGTCATCGAGTCCGACCCCCTGCCCTGGGCAGGAAAGAGCGCTAGGCAGAGTAGGGAACAGAGGGAACAGAGTAGGTGATCTACTGGAAAAGTGTTTTCCCACTTACTCGGTATAATTCTCTGACAGGGAATTCTTCTCTGAAGAAAAGGGTCCAAATTTAGACCTCTTGTAGGCAGGTGCAACTCCATTTAGTTTAAAAGTACTGTCTCCACGTATAGCGGATCACAAGTGGGGCCCAAACTCCTTGTTAAAGAGTTCACGGTTTAATTTAGAAAGAGAGATATGAAAAACAGGGAAACAATTCAGAAGGTAATGGGAGGATGATGTTAGAGAACTGATCACTGTCAGGTAGGGCAGCTTTGTGAAGGGAATGGTAAGGGGGAAAGGAAGCTCCTTTGCAGGGTACAAAGTCTGCAACTATTCTAAACTCATGATGAGATGCTTGCAGCAGAAAGGGTGGCACAGGGGATGAAATGGAGCAGAGGGCAAGAAAAGCAAAGGGAGATCCATAATGAGAGAGGGTGGAGAAGAATTCAGGAAACCTAAGGTAAGAGGACTGAGAAAGGGAAGGGCCACATTGGCCCAGATGTGTTTCTGCATCAATGGATTTCTCTCATTCAGGGGCTAATGCAGCTCTGTAGAACCATCATAACCCTCGTCCCTGGTGAAATGGTCACTCCAGGACACAGAATTGCCAGCATAAAGTTTCACCCTCTCACTTGCTCTGATGTCTCCTGAATAGAGCTAATTGGACTACTGGTAGAGATGTAGAAATTTCACAAAAAACAGCATCTGATGATGGGAGCTTGGGCTTACAAAAACTCCTACTACAGATCCCTGAGTGAGTTAGTCTATAAGGTACAAATCCACCCTATTGTCTACCAAAGCTTTTGTCAGAGAGATTCTACTCCTTGTTTATCACAATCTTGACTGGAAAACTTTGCTCTGAATCAAGTGGAGCAGGATCTTGAAACGGAGTCTCCACCACCTTCCCAGGCCACATGGAGCCAAAATAAATTTCAAAACCTCAGAAGCTGCTGCAAAATTGAATTGTCATTGTCCAGACAGCTCTGCCCCTTGCATGCCCCGCCAGGTGTACAGTGATGTTAAATACAGCCCTCCATACAGAGCCTTGTAGGGGAGGGAGGAGCTTGAACTGACTCTAAAAGATGAAAAGCCC